CAACAACAACAGCAACAACAAAAAAGCTAACAATAAACAAAAAGGAAAATTAAAGGAAAAGCAAGGGGAAAAAAACCTAGGATAAAAATCCAAGAACCAATCCAAAGAAAATGTTATACTAACAAGAACAAACAACAAAACCTTAATATGATCAAACTTAGAAGCTGCAAGACCCAACGTATGCTGGACAAACTGTAAACAACCTGAGTGATTGACGTCAACGAGGACAGATGTGGGGAGAGGGCGAACACGTCACGGCTGTGCCCCTGCGCATGCGCGTACGGAGAGGCGGATGTTGAGTCGCCATAGACTTCTCTCTTGAGCGTCTCGTTCTGGGCTGGCACTCTGCTCTGGCTGGCTACAAAGCACGTCCCTGCAGGCTGCTGGAGGTTTGGTTTAGCTCCTGTGTCATCTACAAAAAATACATATAGTTAAAAAAAAGTTTTAGTTACTAAGAGTTTTACGGCATTTGCAACACAGATAGGTCATAATATAAGTGCTGAAGATTAGAGATCATACTAGAGAGTGTGTGGTACACAGAAAAGGAGGTGGAGAGAAAAGGGCAATAGATCTTTGATAGGAAACGACAGACAAAAGAGACCAGAAGTAGATGACCGTGGTACAGTAATTTAGATACCCGCCACGCAATCGGTAAGTTTTGGACCAAATACTCTAAAAAAACAAAGGCATTTTTCAGGGAACGTTCCAGCTTCTGAACTTCAATGGTTTCACAATACTCATGGAGTTGTATAGTTTGCATTACCTCTCAAATACTAACACTGGTGTCACTTTAAAAAAACAACCAAGATATCTGAAAGCAAAGTTCAGCACCATTTCAACCAATCTAGAGTAGAAAATGTATTGAGTTGTTACATTTTAGGACATGAAACATAAGTAAAGATCCATACCCTCTTTTGCCCAGCACTACACTTATCACTCATTGAACATTTCTAATGAAAAAGTAAAAACCAAAGATCCAGAATCATCATCATCATCATCATCATCATCATCATCATCATCATCATCATCATCATCATCATCATCATCATCATCATCATCATCATCCTCATACCCACAACCATGCTCGCCCCCGCTTATCTCACGCGTGTCTATACCTGGCTTCATGTTTTCCTCAATAGCTACTATAGCTAACGAATGTAGGTACAATGGCTGTAGCTTCTCCTCCTCCTACTCGTCCCCCTCCTCCTCCTCTGCCTCCTCCTTCTCTTCCTCCTCCTCACAATGATTTCTTTCTCCCCAAGCACACACACCCCTGTCTGTATCT